ACGTCTTGCTTACAAAATGGCTCTACCTCGAGAAGATGACAAGTTAAATCGTTACTGTACATTTTGGAGAAATGGTCTTCACTGGTTTGATGACAATGGTGTAAGAGTATTAGTAGAGATTGTGGATGAGAGCCAGTCTGTACTAGTAATGATGTCCTGTGAGAAAGGTTACAGTGACAATATGGTGTTTCTAAGAAGAGATGTGATAGGAGAGGTAATGAGTGTTTATAAAGAATCCTGTCCCAGTCTAGAGGTAAAAGAGTTAGTTATTGATCCTAAAGAACTAGCTTATCCTGTGAATACACCAAGAGAAAGGACAACTTATGGCATATATAATGTACTGTTGGCGATTAAGAAAAGGAAACCATTTCTTGTGAGTGATAAAGGACAAACAGAATTGAAGGAGACCTTAACTGATGAATCATTATCAGATATTAGTAACCTGTCACTATTAGGAGGACGTGATATTAAGGTAAGAATTAACACACACAAACTGTTTGATACATTAATACAAGTACTAATAATCAAAAGGTCATATCTTAAAAGTAATTTTATTTCTTATCAAATTACTCTGTCTTTGTCATAATTGTGGGTTGTCATTGTGTGGCTTTTACTACTAATAATATATACTTGTACATCAGTTAAACTCACCTTTCAGCAATACACTACTGATGTATATCACTTTGATAAACAAGCACAGTGACAAATGTCAGTTATTACTAGTAATATTACTATTAATATTGTATATAGGAAGTGATTGAAATAACCGAAGAATTCAAGACAAGATTGACTCCAATAAAGCTAGGTATGTTATAATATGTACTATCACTAGTGGGAGTATGTAGTGACCGAGAAGGAAAGGTAAAGAGAGGTCTCGCGGGAATCAACGAACGAATTTATCAATAAGTCAAAAACTTCTCCTTAAAACTGAAGAATGCACACACTTAAATACACACAAATCAATTGCATCATAATACATCACTGACACACATTGCATAATATTACATAACACTAGAAAGGAATCTAAATCAACAATGCATACATTATATAACCTACATAAGAAATGAATATAAGCATAGAAATAATAACTAGGAAAAATGATAATAATAATAATACAATACATGCCTAGGAAAATAATTATAAATAAGCATACATTAACATTATCAGTTATAACAGAGTACAGACTGTACAGTGTATATACATTATTAATTATTATTTTTATAGATATTAAAGATCTTGATATTGTCATTAAAGAGTTAACATCAGATCAACACTTGTCCTGTTCTGTATGGCACAGACTAGGTCTACATGTAACAGACGCTCCTAGCTATCTGTTCACCAAACTTATTTCTTAATCAACACTGAGCTCAAAAAAACCAACTAACAAAAACTAACTCACAACTAACAAACAACACACTTATATAGATCTTATAAATGTCCAGAAGGTTCTATAACATACAAGAATACTTTACATGATTGTTCTAGAATATACTTGAATAAACACATAATATATAATTACAATAGTACACAGAGAGTTCCGGATCCATTTAGAAACAACTTCTTACACTACAGTTAGGATTATATGATCCTAGACTAGTGGATATAGATGAGAGACACAGAGGAAATCCAGTAAAATGTTTTCATGCTTGTATGTCAGCCTGGTTAAGAGGAGAAGATAAAGTGAGAGAGAAAGGAGGTCCCAGTTGGTCATCATTAGCTACAGCACTGGATACAATAGAAGAGAAATCTATTGCTACTAACACTAGAGATAAATACTATACATCAAACCAGTTAATTGCCTAGTTCTTTCGTTTGTTGAAATTATTATTTTCTATTATCACTTACTTTGTTAAGATGGCTGCCTATAGTATCTTACTTTGTTCTGTTCTGTTTATAACTATTATTATTATAAATGATACATTATTACAAGATGAATGTAAAACATTAAGGGGACAAGCCAAGCAAAGCAATATACATCATTATTACTATTTACGTCTCTCTGTCTGTTGCTAATAAAAAAGTTTGAGTTGATTCCGACAACAAATTTTTGTGCAATGGACAATTTCTGAATTACTACATAACTACCAAACGTGTACACTAGCATCGTTACTATAAATAGTATCAATTACTACAATAGACAATGATATATCATATACTACAATAGCATAGTGTCAATGAATAGCATTGTACTATAAATAGTATCAGTGTTACTATAAATAGAATCATTTACCTCTATTCCTAAAGAAGAATGACACTATGTCTCAGTTCCAGTCTCCAGTGCATTGAGTGGGAGGGAACATTGATCCAATCAATTAAGAGACACTCCTAGATCAGGAGAGACAGAGATTTTATGAAATGATGACAAAGACAGAGTTTGTAAGAGGGAGGGACCATCTAAACATGGGCAGAATAGGAGGTATTTTATTTTAATTTTATCATAAAATTGTAAATATTTACCTGGAGTGTTATAGCTAAACATTCTACAGTATTCCAGTGGATGAATGGCAGCAATGATCATAGCATTAGAGACACTGTAGACCACTGGATAATAATGAAGTTAAGGATCATAATTGTACATTATTAATGATTAACGTACACGTACATGTACATGTACATAGCTCAAGGAGACAAAATAATAAGAAGAGGATAGAAAAAGAAAGGATTATATACTGTATATGCCATATATTTCGCGGGTATAAAATTTCATGATTTAGCTGCATTTTTGTATTTGCAAATAAAAATTGTGATTTTAATGTAATTACCATACCTACTATACAATCAGCAATCAGCATGCTATTTCACAGGTTTTAAGTTTGAAAAATTTTCCAAAATGTGACAATTGCGAAATTAAATTCCCAGGGAATATATGGCGTATATGGTATACTAAAAGCCTTGGGTATTTTCAGATTTTGGCAAACTTTTTAAATGGCCATAACTCGAAAAATTTAAGTCGGAATCAGCTCAAACTTCTTATACAGCATAAGGACATCAATATGTACCAGAAAATATAATAAAAATTAGGGGCATATTCTTAGCCATTTTTCTGAAAACACTATGGGCTATAGCCTTAGGTATTTTTTGAATTTGGCAAATTTCTTAAAATGGAGGTACACTTACATGTAACTCAAAAAAAACTAAGTCAAAATCAGCTCAAGCTTTCTACATAGCATAAGGACATCAATATGCATCAGAAATTGTAATAAAAATGGGGGTAATTTTAGAGCCATTTTTTAGAAAAAGGCCAAGGCTAAGGAATGTGCATAGCTGGGCATTAATTAGGATACACACAATTCCGTCCTCGATGAGAGTGAACAGCAGTGGCCATTAAAAAAGGACGTCATTCAACTTCCCGACATATTGTGGAAGAGTATCATCATACTGGAAGGACTCCATGTTAGGCTCTATACTGAAGGCTAAAGAGAGAGTCAGAGATTGTTGCTGGGAGGAGGAGGAGGTGTTTAAAGAACTGTCATTAGCTAGGAGAATGACGTCACCTTTATGAGAACCAAGTACTGTTAGTGTATCAAGACTGGAGCCTATTGAGAGGAGAGAGGAAAATAATTAATAACTATTAATAACTAATATAAATCATTGATATTGATGGGGAGGAACTTTAAAAATTCGTAAGAAATCCAAATTGAATTGGAATTAGCTCAAACTTTCTATGCAACATAAGTCCATCTATTTGCATCAGGAAAAAATTGTAAAAAGCTAAATTCTAATTTTTCATTTTTGATGAAAGTTATCCAAAGTATAGGGACTTTGCCAATTTTTGAGTAGCTTAAAAATTTGTAAGAAATCCAAATTTAACAGGAATCAGTTCAAAACTTTCTATGCAACATAAGTACATGTGAAGCTGGTAATACTATTCTCTCTAACCTTCTCTCTGAGGACAGCACCACAAGAAAGTCCACTGAGGTAAGCATGGGAGCCATTATCCTCTGATACAACACTAGGAGTAACTAAACACACTCAGCCTATCAGCCAAGCTCCCTTATCTTGTATCCACCATTTGTCAACCCAGGAGTAGTACCATTCATCATTACTGATGACTCCACTGGTTTTAAGGCAGGCTCAATCACACCCATACCAAACTGAACTCAACTGCTAATAGAAGACCAAGATTAGTACAATACCTTGACTCTAATAATAATGTTAATAAAATGAATTTAAATTATTTCTATTCACTAACCATAAAGTCAGTAGTTGATACAGTATTCATTGCTGGGTTTGCTGCTTGACAAATAAGTTTGAAGCGTCTTTCAATTTCTTTCTTTAAATGACGTGATACAGCACATATTTCTATGTAGAAATAAAAACAGTTCAATGAATGAATAAATGAAGGAGACAGAGACAAAACTCAGCCTTAAATAGTCACAATAAAACACAATGTAACT